AGAGATTAGTAGGATGAGGTTTAGAAATACTGGACCTACGAATTTCTATCCCCGTGGAGCTGGGATCACCCCTCCCTGCTTATGAATGATTTCTTATCCACTTTTCTATAAGCTTCCATGTGTTTAGCTCTGCAGAAATGCTCTGAACCTTACTTCTTTGGGTTCTTTATAAAGGCTTCATTATAAAAGCATGACTGAAACAGGATGACCCTGTAACACTGTGACCAGACAGAAAGGGTGTGGTCTTATGCTTGAAGACTACATAGGGAAACCCAGCAGGGCCTGTCTTTCCAGATTCTTCTTGGCTTCTGTACAAGTCTGTCCTCCCAGCTATGGGCAGGGCCTCTACTGAAATGGGGTTTTATGATCAATCTACAAGATCAGAGAATTATGGCCAGCCTGAGATAAAAAGAGGGGAAACTGAGAATATATCTTTGTTTTCTATTACTTGTCAGGGGGAAAGAATTGTTAGTTTCTATGGCCTTCTGGGAGTAGAAAAGAACCAGAGAAAGACTATGGTTTTGAGGCCTACAGCACTTCAGCGTTACAAAAGACTGTCCAGGGCTGGAGTGTAGCTTAGTGGTAGAGTGCTTGCCTATGTGTTCAAGGCCCTGGGTTCTGTCCCCAGCACTGGAGAAAGAAGAGAAGAATAAAAGACTGTCTTCTACCCTTACTGATTAATGCGTTTTCTGCCCTCACCCCATAATAGATGTCTCCATCTGTGCAGTAAACCAGATCAAGCCAAATTGATTCAAGCAAAGCAATTCTAAGATGGTTTCTCTAGTCCAAGAGATGGAGGCTGGAGAAATTGTGTGCCTGAACTAAAGCAGGGAAATTATATAGGTTGTAGATGAGGGGTGATGATGTGTCAGCCACAAGCTGTGTTGTGCCAAAGTACAGTCAAAAGCTGACAGCTTTAGGTGACTGACAACTTTAGGGGAGAAAGCTCTGAAACTGGACTTTTCCCTTTGGAAATTCTCTGAGTGGATGGGGCTTGGAGAGAAAGAATGGGACTTCTCATACCATTCATGATTAAGCTGGAGGTTCTAATAGAACACGGCTCTGAAGCCAAACTGAACCAAAAGGCTATGGTTCTGAGCCAGAAACCATGGATAAGAATCTAAATGGGTGTGTCATAAAATCAAAAGCCTGAACACCCATGTGCTCGGTTTCCATTACCACTTTAGTGAACAGGTGTGCGGTGGAATTTACTGTGCTCTGCCATGCTCTACACTAAAGTTTTTTTGTTTTGTTTTGTTTTGCTGCCTTTTTATCCATGCAATCATTTGTACATGACTTATTTATTTTGGACAAAGGTAGATTTGTTTGTTTGTTTGTTTTGTGTGGGGGCGGTTGAGACAGGGTTTCTCTGTGGCTTTGGAGGCTGACTTGGAATTAGGTCTCGTAGTCCAGGCTGGTCTCAAATTTACAGAGATCCACCTGCCTCTGCTTCCTGAGTGCTGGGATTAAAGGTGTGCTCCACCACCACCTGGCTCAAAGGTAGATTTTTAAAAAAAAACTAAGCTCTGCTTTTCTAGATGGTTTCTGTATTGGTAGGCAGAAGTAACTCCCTGTTGTAAACAGCTACCCACTAAGGCCTTGGGAATGACAGTGCAGCACAACTTGCTGTAAAAAAGACCTAGTCCCTGGAGGGTCTGTGTGTATAGGAATGCCACCTTATTTTACAGGTGCATTGGCATTCAAAGCAGGCTTCTGCCCTTGAATATTGCACATAGAAGTGTCAGCAGTAGTGAGCTGGATTCCTCTTATGGGGAGGAGGTACCCTGTGCAATTCTTGATTTCTTCTGTCTCTGTCTACAGTATGTTCAGCAGATGTATTGCTTATTTGGTGCCCTACTTAAACTTCTGTTTAAAGTAAAATTATGAGGGGCAGGGAAGGTCTCATTCTAGTACAATCTGACCTTGGAGCTCCGTGATAATCTTCCTGCTTCAGCCTCTGGAGTGCTGGTATTGTAGACATGAGACACCATGGCTGCCCTAAAATGAAATTCCGTTAGAAGTCTTTTGTTAGGTTGGTTTTTCGAGACAGGGTTTCTCTCTATTGTTTTGGAGGCCGTCCTGAACTCTGTAGATCAGGTTGGCCTCGAACACAAAGAGATCCTCCTGCCTTTACCTCCTGAGTGCTGGGATTAAAGGTGTTCGCCACCAACGCCCGGCCACATTAGAAATCTTGAGCAGCTTTTCTAACTATCCTTACAGCACTAGAGGTTGTACCCAAGACCTGGTATGCACTGAGATAAATTCCCAGCACATTTGTTTATTTGTGATAGATTATCCCTGGATGACCTCCAGTTTTTGATATATCTAAAGATGACCTTGAAGTGCTGATCCTCCTGCCTCCACCTCACAAGTTCTAAGATTAAAAGCCTTCGCTACCACACTTGGCTTTTCCATTTATTTATTCTTCAGCATCCTATCAGGTTTCATTTGTTTTAAAAAATTAGATTTTTAAATGTTAACAAATTAGGAAGTTACAGATACTTTAAAGGTGACTAAGCAAGACGAGTGTGTGTGTGTGTGTGTGTGTGTGTGTGTGTGTGTGTGTGTGTGTACACTCAAAGCATGGATAACTTTCAGGTGTGTTGCCTAGATAGAAACAAGAGAAAAATAATTTGTTAAAGGAAACTTGAGTCTCAACAACCAGTAGGGTAGAATAGAGTAGATGAGAGAGTAGAATTAAATCACTGGGCAAATGAATGGCAGCATGTGTAGACCTTGGCTTTGTTTCCTTTTTAAAATATTTATTTTTATGTGCATGGGTGTTTTGCATGTTTGAGCACCACAGGTGTGCCCACAGAGGCCAGAAGAGGGTGTCAGGTCCCATGGAACTTGAGTTAACAGATGGTTGTAAGCCACTGTATTGGTGCTGGGAATTGAAAGAGCAAGTGCTCTTAACTGCTGAACCTCAACAGCCTTGTTTTTCAAAAGTAGAGAATCTAATTGGAAGAAGAAAAATTATGTACATAAACTGGAACAAAGAATACCATTAACAGTGTGCTGCTCAGGCACAGCAGCTTAGAGGAAAGGAGAAGTAAAGATTAGAAAAGACATTGTAAATGATAGCAAAAGTACAAAATTGAATTTAAAAGCTGTAATGGATCATATCGATTGCCAGCTTATTTAGATCTAGCTAGAGACATCTAGGAGACCAACTGCTGAGCATTCGAGTAAAGGATCTCTAAATTTGGCTAAGAGTGGTGGGAAGACCCACCCTGAATGTGCACAGCACTATCTCATGGGCTGGGATTCAGAGTTTCCCTGTGTATCTCTGGCTGTCGATAGACTCACTCTGTAGCCTAGGCTGGCCTTGAACTCAAAGAAATCCGTTTACCTCTGCTCCCAAGTTCTGGGATCAAAGGTGTGTCCCCACCAGCACTTACTATTCATGACTGTAGATGGTTGAGCAGCTGGTGAACTTCTTTCTCTTTTTTGCTTAGCAATATAGTGTTTTAAAACACACAAAAACACAAAGTCTGGCCGGGCAGTGGTGGTGGTGGTGCACACCTTTAATCCCAGCACTGGGGAGACAGAGTCAGTTGGATCTCTGTGAATTTGAGGCCAGCCTGGTCTTCAGAGGGAGTTCCAGGACATATCTACAGAGAAACCCTGTCTCAAAAACTCCCCCAAAGCCAAACTAACAAAAAACAAGGTCTGGCTACATAGCCCAGGTCTTAGAATTATAGTAATCCCTCCAACCTCACGTCTCATGAATTGCTTATTTTTGAAATACATTTTAGAGACAGAACTTGATATCCAGAATAAAGAGCAAGTGCTTACACTGTTTATAACAATGCATTTCTAGAGTGCTGGGAAGATGGCTCAGCTGTTAGAAGCAATTGCTGCTCTTGCAGAGGACCCTAGTTAGATTGAGTTCCTAGCTCACATATCAGGCAGTTCACAACTACCTATAACTTCAGCTCCAGGTGATCTGTTGCCCTTTTCTGGCTTCTGAGCATACTCACACATGTCATATATTCATAGGCACACATACATAAATGAAAATATGCATAAATAGATATTTTTAAAAGAATGCACTTCCTTAAGAAGTTGATCTGCAGTAGGTTCTAGAACATTTACGAATTTGGCATAGAAAAATTCTACTACTACCATATCCTTTGGTTTTTGTTTGGGAAGAGTATACTTACATATTTTTTTTCTTAATCCATTTTGATTTTTATTTTGTTTTTGTTTTTTGTTTGAGAAAGATTTTACAATAGCCCAGGCTAGCCTGAAACTTGGAGCAGTCTTCCTGCTTTGGCTTCTGAGTGCTGAGATGACAGGTGTGAGCCACCTGCCTTAGTTAGGGTTTCTATAGCAGTGAAAAGACACCGTGACCATGGCAACTTTTTTTATTGTTGGTTTGTTTTTCAAGGCAGGGTTTCTCTGTGGCTTTGGAGACTGTCCTAGAACTAGCTCTTGTAGGCCAGAGTGGCCTCGAACTCACAGAGATCTGCCTGCCTCTGCCTCCCGAGTGCTGGGATTAAAGGCGTGAGCCACTACTACTCAGTTGACCATGGCAACTTTTAAGAAGGAAATCATTTAATTCTATGACTTACATTTTCAGAGGTTTAGTTCATTATCATGGTGGGACATGGCAGCATGCAGGCAGACATGGTGCTGGAACAGGAGCTGAGAGTTAACACATCTTGACTTGTAGGCAACAGGAAGTGGTGTGAACATATATGAGACCTCAAAGCCTGCCTCCACAGTGACTTTCTCCAAGAAAACCACACCTCCTAATAGTGCCAGTCCCTTTGGAAGGCCTTTTCTTTCAAACCACCACACCACCATCCCCCACTCCTCAATTCTTAGAGAACTATTCTTCTGTATAGTTGGTAACTATATGTGATTGATATCATAACACTTACAAACTAACAATTGTGTTCATTTTCATTAAAGTCATTGGAATGATCTGGATGTTTTGCATTCAAATTTCCTCAGTCCTTATCTTTACTTTTTGCCTTCTTCTATCTGTTTAGAATCTCCATAATGAATGGATCCAGTATGGCAAATACATCACCCAGTGTGAAATGCAAAGAGGACCAGGAGTTACATGGACATGAGGAAAAGGAAAACCCATTTGCAGAATACATGTGGATGGAGAATGAAGAGGATTTCAATAGACAGGTAGGCAAAGGTAGAAGGCAGTCACTAAAGCTGGCAGTGGTGGCGCACGCCTTTAATCACAGCATTGGGGAGGCAGAGGCAGGCGGATCTTAGCAGCCAGAAGCTTTATAGCTCAAGTTAGAGTCTATAGCTCTGGGTTCTAAGCCAAGGGCCTGACCCTCAGGACTTAGTGCATTCCTCTGCTCTAAGCAGCAGCAGTCAGAGCCAGCTAGGATTACAGCTCCTAAATCCTCTAAAACCCTCAAGAATCTGTAGTCTTTTCCTCCCTCTCCCTTTCTGTCCTGTGTGGGTCTCTGTATTTCCACCCTACTGTCCTTCATTGTCTCTGCTGCTTGTGTGGAGTTCTTTCCTGCCCTCTTGCCTCCACTGACATTGCTGCTACCTACAGTTGTCAAAGTGGTGACTACTACAACACTTTGCTGACATACCCTTGCTGCTGTTTGTATGTCTCATTCTGGAAGGTCATATTAAAATTGTTATAAGACAAACAATAAAGATTTAAGATGCAGTTTAAAAAATTGGTAGTAGAAGAAGATACTATATCAAGGTTTCCAGGCAGACTATTTCTTTACCATAATATTCAAGTCAAGATGCATTGTACAAAAAATATCTTTTGGGGCCTGTGAGATAGCTCTGTTGATAAAAGCAATTGCTGCCATGCCTTAGAATCAGAGTTAAATTCCCAGGACCCACAAGGTAGAAAAAGAGAATAAACTCCCACAAGTTGTCCTCTGACCTCCACATGTGTGCAGTGACACATGTATACCTCCCTCCAACAATAAATAAACATAATAAAAAATTTAAAGCTATAACCCCTAATACTAGTACTGATTGTCATTGATTCGGTCAGTAGGTACACATTCACATACACCTATGAATGTGGAGGCTAATGTCAATATTGTTTATCTTCCTCTGTTGCAGTATGGGTATTGGATTCACACTGTGGAAGAAGGATGTTAGCCTTTCTTGGCTGCAGGGTGAATCAGGCTCTAAAGACTGAACCACTTTTCCTTCACCCAGGGTTTCCTTTATTGTTCAATTTACACCTTCACAAGTTGATTTCCATATCCTCAAAACAGTCTAAGCTTCCAAAGGGACAATGCCAAGTGCAAATTCTCCATTGGCAAAACCAGGTTTTGCATAGGCTTAGTATCTTTGGGAAAATATCAGGCAAGATTCACATATTAGGGCAGCAAGGGAAACAACAGGTATCTGCTAAACAAAAGATGGATTAGGGCTAGGTGCTAGCACTCTGGAGCCAGACCAGGTGTAGCCCAGCAGGAATGTGCTCCCACTTTTCTCCATCAGTCTCCACTTTATTTTTTAAGCTGGTGATTGGATAGACTGGCTGGCCAGTGAGTCCTTTCTTCTGTCTCTGCCTCTGGACACTGGGATTACAGGTATACCATCACACCTAGCTTTTTATGGGAATGCAGGGGATCCAAACTCAGGTCCCCATGTTTGTGCCCCAAGCATTTTGAGCCATTTCCCCAGTCCCCTTATTGATCAAAAAATTGTTCATTGAAAGATGGTAATGGTGGTGCATGCCTATAATCCCAACATTTATACGCAGCAGCAAGGGAGCTCTGTTCAAAGAAGAGTTGAACAAGTATGAGGCTTTTAAAACCAGATTGAAATGTAACACTAAGACCTAAATAAGGAAATATCACTTGATTGAGGTCTCAGCAAGTAGTGGCATATGAAGGTACATACTTTAATCCCAGCACTGGGGACAGAGTCAACAAGAACAGTTCAAGGTCAGTTTCTGCTACCTATCCAGCTTGAGCGTCTCCACAGACCCAGACAGATAACAACAAACGTGATCTCGGGAAGAATACTCAAGGGGCTGAAAAGACAGCTGTATAAGTTTTGGGTACTTGCTGTTCTTGCAGAGGACAGGAGTTTGGTTTCCAGCACCTACATGGTAGCTTACAACCATCTGTAACTCCAGCTCCAATGGAGCCAGCGCTTTTCTTACGACCTTTTACCCACACTCATGTGCATTCACACACACCCAATTAAAAATAATACAATGCTTTTGAAGAAAGGATAACTCAGGAAAGGGAAGAGTTCTTGTAAGAAGAAACACACTAGTTGTATTTGTGAATGATTTATGTTCATACACAGATAATTCTAATAATACAGAAGAGATTTGGTTGTACTAAGTGGGGGGCATCCACCGATTCTATGTAACTAGTAGGATGTGTTTCTCCTGGCGAGGCATGACATGGAATGTGGGAAGATGAAACCACTTAGTTGGGTGTTGGTCTTTTATATATGTATTCTCTAACTGGAGGTTTTTTGTTTGTTTTTCTGTAAGCTCCTGTCATTTCCCCATGGGTATCTGGTAACTAAAGTAAGAACAGCCACAATACTCATTCATGCCTCATTAGGATCTTTTGTTTGTTTTTCTTTTCTTTTCTTTTTTAATGTTCTTAGTGCTAATTTCCCAACTCTTACACAAAGAAAATGGAATACTGCTATAAAAGAAATAGGTTCACATGTCAAGGTCTTAAAATAGCTATAGTAAAACATTTGAGCAAGGGAATGTGTAAGAGAATGGAGAGCAGGAGTATGGTGGCTTATACCTGTGGTCCTAAGGCTTGATAGGCTGGGGCAGGGGGATTGACGTGAGTTCACAGCCATCCTGAGCTGTATATATAGTGAGTTAGTCCAGCCCTGTCACACAGAGAGAAATAGAGAATGGATAGAAAAAATAAATACCAAACATTTCAAACACAAAACTATAAAATCTTGCGGCTTAGAAATACTTCGTTGTAGTTACTTTTATGAGCTTCATAACTATATAATTTACAAGATTTAAAAATGTTTGGGCAATTAAAAATTTAAGATACTCTTCTTAAGCTGGGTAAGAGAACATAGCTATGATCCCAGCACTTGGGAGGAACAAGCAGGAGGATCAGAAGTTCAAGGCCAGCCTCAGCTACATGGAGAGTTCAAGTCCAGCCTGGGATATATGAAACTCTGTCTTAAAACAACAGAAATAAAAACTTACTATTTGTAACTTTTTCTGAACATATGAGGCACAGTTAAGTGAGGTGGGAAAGAGATTTGGCAAGTGTGGAGTGGCCCATAGAAGTCACTGAGATCTGCCAGTGACTGCAAAGGACTGGAAAATCCTGGATCTCTTCACTTCAGTTTGTGACTGTTCAGGAAGTATGGAGTAGTTTAAATATTGTATTCTTGTTTTAAGAGACTACTGTGTTGTGACATGTATTTTCTTTTTTTGACATGTATTTCTAGTAATGCATCAGAAAGTTCCCTTTGTATCTCTCTAAGGTTCTAAAAGTATTTTTCTACCTTGGGGTACTTATTACTAGAAAAGTGGGTCAGGAGCTAATATTGGTTTTGATTTGGTTTTCAGTATCCAAGTTTCAGGCTAATTACATACTTCCTTTGTCTTTTACATGCTCCTTGTAAAGTGTGAAATTTAAGAATTTTGTTTTGTTTTTGGAATCAGGGTTTCACTATGTGGCCCTGGCTAGTGTAGAACATGACCAGGCTGGTCTTGAACTTACAGAGACCCACCCCACCTGTCTCTGCTTCGCAAATGCTAGAATAACAAGCATGCCACCACATCTGGCTAGAAAGAATGCTTTTAACAAGATCAAAGAAAGAATTCAAGCTAGAAAATGATTTTTCCATACCACTATAAAAATAGAGAATAAAAGATAAAAGCAAGATAAAGAATCCAAAGTAATCTCAAAAAAGTGTTCCATAAAGATTTATGAAGACCTGAAGTTTCTGCTATTTTTAATAACTAAAATCATGTTTTCTTTTTGGTTATCAGATGTTACTTTTCTGTTGCTGTGATAAAATACCATGACCCACAAGTGACGTAGGGGAGAAGAGGCCTTATTTTAGCTTACAGTTCTAGGGGGAATATATCCAGTCCATCATGTTTGGGATGAACAACAGACAAGCATTGGCAGCAGGAACAAGAAACTGGCTGACCACGTTATCTGCAAATTGGAAACAGAGAAAAAACAAGAAATGGAATGAGTACAACTGTAAATTTCAAAGCCTGTCTCCATTGACATACTTTTTTCATTAGGACTCTACCTCATAAAGGTTCTGTGATGTCCCTAAACAGCATCACCAACAAAGGACCAAGTATTTAGAAACATAAGCCAATTGGTAACACTTCTCATTTAAACCACAACAGTCATTAGAGGCATCATTAGCTCTCTTGCCCATGGTTCTGATTGCAGAGTGAGGACCTCTGAAGGGAAGGGCTGGGAACCCCAGAGGGATTGTCCTCTGGGGTAGTAGTGCCTTTGAATGTTCCTCCTCTGTTGCCAGGTGGAGGAAGAGCTGCAGGAGCAAGACTTCTTGGACCGCTGCTTCCAGGAGATGTTGGATGAAGAGGACCAGGACTGGTTCATCCCAGCACGAGACCTGCCTCAGACTGTGGGACACTTACAGCAGCAGTTAAATGGACTGTCAGTCAGCGACAGTCATGAATCTGAAGACATTTTGGTAAGAGCTTTCAGTAATTCCACATGTGACATCCTGAAAGGAATATGGTGTTTGGAGTCATAGATGCCTCTGTGGCCCTACACCATACATCAAATCTCTGGAGCCTCTCAGCTGCCATGACTTCACCCCTTAAGTGGCCCCCAGCTCTGTGAAACTGTAATCATCAGTCTTCAATTACCCTGATGCTCTCCACTAAGATTAAAAGCCTAAATTGGGCTTCAGTAGACCACGTGATAATTGTCTTTCTCTTTCACTGTCTATAGCTAATATACTCTCTATCTGCTAGGAAACTGTTCCTATTAGGAGGAACACACTCCTGGCAGGCTAGTGAGCCTAGACAAGAGCACAAAGGCCACAGAAAGATAAGTAGAGGTTCTGGTGTCCAAAAATGCTATTTTGGAATGAATATCATTCATACATTCAAGGGAATATCCTGAAGTGGAGTGGGAAGCAAGTGGGAGGAGCCTCTTAGTCAGTGACAGCCTGGGGTGTTAAGAATCTCCCTTGCCCTGAGGCTCACCAGGAAGGGTACTGTGGTGTGGCTCAGTTGTGGAACACTTGCTTAGCGTGTATCAGAACTGCAAAAACAAAAGGATTTGGTGGGTTTTTTTCCCTGTCCCTCTTTCCCTCTCTTTCCCTGTACTTTCATCTCTCTGCAGGGTTGGGGTTTTGAACCTTGTACATGCTAGGCCAAGTATTCTACCAATGAGCTGCATCCCCAGCCTGAAAATAAGTTTTAAAATATAATATGACATGAAAGGAGAAAGATGACCGTCGGTGTGGGGAGAGATGAGGCAGGTATCAGCAAAGTCAGTGTACTGCATATGTATAAAATGTTACAGTGAAACTCATTATCTTGTGTGCTAACTAAATTAAATTTTATTTAATTATGAAAAATAATAAAAGTACAGCTTGCTTTGAGATATGTTTTCTCTTGATTTCTTATTTCAGAGCAAAAGTAACCTGAATCCAGATGCCAAGGAGTTTATTCCAGGAGTGAAGTACTGAACTGTTGGAAGCTTCCAGAAGGACTTGTTTTGTCCCCATACCTGGGGCCAGCAATGTACAAAAAGGCAGAGCTGAAGGGGGGTGGCAAGGGTGTGCAGCCAGGGAGGGTTGGGTTGGGAAGGTGGCTTAACTGGATACTGTGACTCTGAGTAACTAATGTGCGAGATACTACTCTCCAAGCCCTCTGAGCATGGCTCTTCTGTTCTGCTGACTTGTTCAGAGCAGTTTCCCCTTTTATTTTATTTTTGATGATCTTTTTGGAGTTAAGGAACTGCAATTGTTTTTCTCTTGTGAGGTATGTTCTGTCTACATTCAAGCAAAATAAGCTGACCAAGGAAAACAGTATTTAAGAAATAATCTTTCCTGCTGTATACCTACCAGAAGCAAGGCATCTGGAGAGCTTAAGGAGTTTGCAGCTGGATGGTAAGAGGGAAAAACAGAGCAGGAGATGTAAACCAGATGCAACACTCAGCTCCTCAACCCCTGACATTTCCATGATGAACTGGAGTACCAGTGGCCCACAAAGCCCTTGTCTCCTGGCCTGAACTCTACTCAAGAAAACACAGATTTGAAAGTTCTTGAATGAATAAACTTTGGATGGATGCAAGTTGTACATCAGAAGAGCAGGGCTTAATGGTGGCTGTCATTTAGTTGCTGCTTGCCTGATGTTGAGCATACGTGTAGCTACTGTCATTCATCAGTTACCGGTAAAGGTCACATAGGGTTGCTTTGCCTTCATGGTCCTCATGGGGCTACTCCTGGCTTCTTTCCCTCACAGTTCTAAAAGACACTGCTACCCAAAGTCTGAGATGGGCCTTTCGTTGGAATAGTTGCATCTTGAATCTTTTTGGACAGTTTTGGTTTAGTTTTCCTTAGTCCCATCAATATTCTGCTCTTACAGTGTCTTAATTCCCTCAAATATTTCTGTATTTTTTCCAAGAAAATACATTTTCCAAACACTAGCAAGCTGCTCAGTTCAGTTTGGGTGCTTCTCCTGTCTTTCAGAGTGTTCCCAGAAACTAAGCTACTGAAGGATCCTGCCTGAGAACACAACTAAGCTTCTTGAAGCTGTAAACTTTTTTTTGTTTCCTCATGGGCCTGGCTAGGTGCAGTCCTGGTTCTATTGCTACTCTGTAGAACTGAATTCCACTGGGATCTGCTGTTGTGAGTAGTGGTGAAGGTGGTAGTGTTGAGGGTGAAAGTGTCCTGTCCTTTTCATGCTCCCAGGACAAGGGATTTGGAGAGGCCTGAGAGTGCTGTGGCATCTGTGTGGCTGTCACTGTGCTGTGTTAGGTCTGGAAAGATCATGTAGCTTCCAGTCTGTCAGTTCAGCATGTGAATGTTGGCAGAGACTGGAAGAAAGGCCTGGAGTCTAGAAAGTTGAAACGTTTTCCCTTTTTCATGGTGCCAGGGATGGAACCCAGGGTCCACTTGTGCCACGTTAGTCCTACCCCATGAGCTGTTCTCAACTCTCCCTTGTTGGCTTGTAGACAGCCCCAGCAGTTAAACACGGAAGTTCCCTGTTTTTTCTGTTAAAAGTCTCATAGGATAGCATCTTGTGAAAGTGGTCTTCCCTCTTAGGTCACATCATAGTGAGTAGCTCAGGGAACTTGTGTGGCCAGATACACATTGACTCCCAAAGCCTCTCCCTCAAGAGAATGAAACTAGGAACTCCTAGTCCTCTGAGAGGAATTTATTCCTGCTTTAGCTTGTAGTTTGACTTGCCACTTCTAATAAGGAAAAGGGTATGGGTAGGGCATGCTGCAGTCTCCATGAGGCTGTTGGAATTAAGAATGTATCAGGATTGCAGGAAGATCCTTGAGAATCTCCACCTGCATATAGTGTACCCTTCTCTGAGTCCCTGGCTGGGAAGCCCTCACGAGCCTGAGGAGGTGTTGTTCCATCCTAAAATTTTGCTGTTTGGAAACCAAACTGCTAAGTCTGATCCAAGAGGCCTACCTCCCCTCCTGCTGTGCTGGCTCATTTTACTTGGATATCAGTCTCTGGCCTGGTTTTGAGGGTACATTTGGTTAATACTACTAAAATGCTGTCAGTGTACCTAGAAACAAGTGCTGGTGATCCACCTCAGAGGCAACATGATGACTCCAGGCTTGGGATATAGCCAGTAAGGTAATGTGTAAAATGACTTATTCCTATGGCACAACTCTTCTATTATCTAATGTTGTGAGGTAGCATAATTGTGCCCCAGACTATAGACTTAGCCTTAGAGTTTGCCAACTTAGCAGAGGAGAGGAGTTTTGGAGTTTTTTTGTTTGTTTGTTTTGTGTGTGTGTTTCCCCTTGAGAATTTATATAGCAATAGAAAATGTTATTACTACTTGCTGGTCTGGCTGGCCCCAGTCTTTATTTCTTTATGACTGAGTTATAATTGTGATTATTTGACTCTATAACTTTTCTGTGTGAGGGGATGGATAGAGGGATATCTCTTCAGGCATTTTGGACTGCATAAGAAATTGTGGAGGTAGCCACAGCCTGGGTACAGTAGCTCAGGGTCTGGGGCCAGTTTCTATCTATAGTGTACCTGACTTTTGGTTATAAGCAAGCCAGAAAATAGTCTAAAGATTGGATCATTTTTATTGGATCCAGGACCTCACATGTGCTATGCAAGCACTACACCAAGCTGCATTCCAGGCCTGTGAGAGGCTGGGTCTTGGTAGCACCCCTATTTCTAAAGTCACAAGAGCTGTGATTACTTCATTAAGATTATAAGGCTAACCATGGCCTAAAAATAAATGTTTCTAGTGAACTACTTAAGTATCCTTCATATTATTGTTATATCAAGGGTTTGTTTTGACTTTAGAGAGACTACTAAGATGCAGGTAAACAGCTCTTCAAGTCAGCATCTTCAGTGAGTCAGCTGGGAAAGGGGAACAGCCAGAGTGACCCTCTTGATTGGGGCTGTGGTAGATGAGCTTGTGACTGCCTGGCTTCCTGAATTTGTCCCCTATTGTTAAAGGGGACAGGCCTCTGCAGTATGAGTCTTGGTATTACATGCTATTAGTCTAGGTTTATAAAATGCCAAGGATAGAACCCAGAGGTCTGACAAACTTGACCTACCTGGTGGAAAAGCTTATCCTAGCCGCTCTTCTCTGGGAGAGTAGGGGTGGGAGGCATTAGTTTTGTCAAGTAGAGAAAGCAGAAAGGATGCTGTGAAACAGGGACCAAGTGATCTGTCCATCCACAACTGGTCAGTCCTGGGACAGCTCAGTGCAGTAGGTGTGAGTACATCCCAACGTCCGTTCTGCTACATGGAGGATGTCCACCAAGACTTACACAGTCGAAATCTGGAAGGAAGTGGGGTTCTTTTTCACATGTTTAATCTTCCAAGAAGCTGCCGGTAGTGATGGGAACAGAGCAGGAATCTGTCCAGGGAAACATTAGACTGCATATGACCTGCCCTCATCACCGTCACACTCCTAGACCCCAGAAGTTTTTTTCCTCGGAGTCGGGATTAAAACATAAGACACTTGCTATCGTCAACATGTCAGGCTTAGGAGCCACATTTCCTTTCCTGTTCTTGGGGAGGAGGAAATTCAAAGGATGGGTTTCTTTTTTCTTTTTATGTAAAAACCTTCCTACATTTTTGTTGCTAAAAGTATAAATGGAAAATTTGCTGAGTTTTCCTCTCCAAATTTACCTTACTGTATTTTAAAATGAATAAACATTCCAGGTTACTTAATACTATACAGAATATCTTTTTGTTTTGTTTTGGTAGTTCTTAGGGTCGAACTCAGGACCTCATACAGCGAGGCAGCATTCTACCACTGAGGCTATCCTTACCTCTGGGTAAGGATATTAAAAGTATCTTGAGTCAGTCTTGCTCTGTGGTTTAACTAGACTTGAAACTCTGATCCTGTTGCCTCAGCCTCTCCAGTGCTGAGATTATAGTGTGGACTACCTGGCTGTCCTGAGTATCTTAATATTGTACTATTACTAAATTGTTTTTCAGTGCTGGGGGAAGATTTTTTGCATGACTGGGGAAGTGTTCCAACAGCAAACTACATCCCTTGACTATAAAATGCATTTCTTGTAGTAACATGTTTCACTCTATAAACACACAAAAGGAATTTTGTCCTGCCAATTGTGAGCCTTCAAAAATATTTAACAGCAAGTTGTGGCTAGTGCTTATCTTTAATTCCAGGACTTGGGAAGAAGCAGAGGCAGAGGCAGGTAGATCTCTAGTTTGAGGCCAACACAGTTCAGACTAGCCAGGTCTACATAAACGAGACTCAATAAATAAGTTAATAAACTAGTGCTTGAAAAGTGGAAACAGGGCTCCTAAAACAAAACTTTGAGCTGGGGTAGTTCACTAATGATGCGTATACAGATCATGAAACTCACTGGGTTTGTCAGAGTTTAGGAACTTTCTTTACTGCTGAATCACAACTACCTCATTAATTTCTCCCAGTAAATTCTTTCATACGCTGGTCCCCAGGCCCTGGAGTACCTAATGTACCTTTTCTGAGCATTTCATGTCAGTGGAGTCAAACACTATAATTAATTAATTTGGCACTTTTTTTTTAAAGGTGTTCTTTCAATGTTGAGCAGTTTCCTGCTGAAGAGTATGCTGCATTTGTCAGAGAGCCCCTTAAGCTTGGGTTTCAGCCTCTTCAGCTCCACTGGCTTTCCACCTCCACTTTGGCAAGTCCACTGTTCCCAGGACTTTAGAGCTGTATGTCTTAGGAGCCTGAGCCCTGCAGATTCCTGTGATCCTCAACTTCTCATGAGGAGACATTGCACTGTCAACTGCAGGTCAGGACCTTTTTTTTTTTTTTTTTTTTTTTTTTTTTTTGGTTTTTTTCAAGACAGGGTTTCTCTGTATTGTTTTGGAGGCTGTCCTGGAACTCGCTCTGTAGACCAGGCTGGCCTCGAACTCACAGAGATCCGCTTGCCTCTGCCTCCCAGTGCTGGGATTAAAGGCGTGCGCCACCAAGGTCAGGACCTTTGAAGCATTTGAGGGCCTTTTAATAATGAGCACAAGTGAATAGGAAATGAAACTATACTAGGGTTCCATTCAGAATCAGTGCTGAAGACTGTAACTTTCTAGTCATGTCCGTGGAGAGGTGTCTAAGTCTGCTGGACTCTTGAGGTGGTGGAGATACACACAGGAGGAAAGAGAGCCAAAGTGGAGATGGAGGAGCCAGGGAAGCAAAGCAGCCTGATAATGCCCAGGCTGTCCTCCAGTAAACCTAGGTCCACACACACACACTGTACGTAAATACAGGCAGAACACCCAAACAAAATTAACAACAAAACCCTAAAAACAATTTTCCTAAAAACACCAAAAGAGGGAAAAAATTACTTAATTTTTGCTCTACAAACCAAATGCCATCTGTTTAAAAACTCAACAAACAAGAATAGTTACACTTGTTGAGGTAGCACCTTCCTGGCTAAACCTGGCTCCCTTCTTCCACATATATGGACAAGAATAGAACACTGCAGGAGTTGGAGAGTTAACAGAATCCAGATGTTAAAATACTATCATTGTTGCACATCCAGACCTGGTTAATCTTAGTTGCCCACTGGTAGTGGGAATGATGGTGCCTCTGGGCAATTCAGAATATTTCCTGGGAGGATTAGGGATTAGCTCCAGGAGGGGGGAGGGAGGGGGAGTGGGAGGGGGAGAGAGGAGAGAGAGAGACACACACACACACACACACCCCAGCTGGCAGCAGCAGCATAGCTATAAAAGTCAGAAGTGCCCCGTGATAACCAGAGCCAGGTGAGCAGCAGTGAGGAGCAGGAAGGTCACTGCACTGAGTTAAGCAGTGCCTATTTGGCTTGTAGGGATTCATTCAGACAAACAAAATGCCCTGTGTACCTACAGCTACCAAATCCAAGGTTAAGTCAAAATTGAGACTGGGATTGTACTGTCTCCCAAATCCTACAGAACCTTTGAAGAGGGTATGATAGACCTTGGGTCATTCCCCAGGAGGTGAGCATGGTACAGTTTGGCTCCATCATAAGAAATCATAACATGGGTTCCAGCTCCTGGCAGCCACAGCATGTGGTGTGGAAATGGGAAGTGCAGTGCCATTATATACTTAAAAGCCTGGTGGGTACATGCAAGCACCTGGAATTTATCTTTAAAGCCTGAACCTGCTAGGCTGACCTGCTGTAAGTGCTAGGAATATGCACAGCAATGTGTTGAGGATACCATCCTGCTAGGGAGGAGGTAAAGTGCATTTATTTTCTTCCGTGTGTTTTTAACAAAGAAAAAGCTCCTCCCTTCTAACAGTGTCAGTTGGATGGAGGAGGGGGTGCAGCCCCTAGAAGGTATAGGAATAGAAGGCAACAGCATTGATGCTGTAGTCCAAGGGAAGGTGGTATCCAATGTGCTTGGCTCCCAGGCTGGCACCCCCCAGTGCAGAAGACTGCCGTAGTTTCATCAGGGTGAAGCGGGACAAGGAGTTCTGGGCCTGCGACTCTCGGCCCTGGGTCAGTGCCAGGAGAAAGCCTGGAGCGAAGGACACAAAAAAGAGATCAGCAGCTGGGGCTTCAGTGGAGATACTAGCGACCACATGCTAAGCATCCAGCACACAGAGGCACCAGGCATGGGTCCTGGAACCAGCAGCCAAGGAACCTATACTCCTCAATTCTAAAGCATGCAACACCAACAACTTCTTAGAGCTGTTTCAGAGAGTCTAATGGAAACCCTGCAACTGCTGAACTGTGGCTGCCTGGTTATCACACACTGGTCTGAGCTCTTATGAAGATAGAGAGATGGCTCAGTCACTAAGGGCATTTGCTGCTCTTCTAAGGACCTGTGTTCAGTACCCAGCACCCACATGGTGGCTCACAATACCTTTAACTCCAGTTCTGACACCCTCTTCTACCCTCCCTGGGCTCTGCACACCCATGGTGCACAGACATGCTGGCAAAAATACACAACATAAAAGTAAACAAATCTTAAAAAGTGATATGTATTTAGAATAGAACATCTTTTCACCAGCTCAAGAGCTAGAGCTATACAGCTCTGCAGTAGAGTACAGGTTAACAAGCACATGAATGAAGGGCCCCACTTGACCCTCCTTTCCAGCTGTACTCTTTTGTTTTTATCCCCACCTGCCCACCCAGACTCACCTTCCTTCAGCAGCTCCCAGCTCTTCCACACTGAGCCCACACACACAATGGGGAGGCCAAGCTCCCCTTGGAACAAGACCTGGGAAGAAGAAAGAATGGACACTGCAGACTGACCCCAACCCTAAACCTTGCCAGAGCCTCAGGCATATTTCCTCAGACCCATCTCTGTCCAAGACACTCTCCTAGGGGAAAACTGAAGGTGGACTCAAACAAAAAACAGGGGAGGCGGCAGGCAAGGAGGAAAACAAGTCATGAAAGTGAAGAGGAGAAGAGGAAAGCAATGTTCAAATAGGAAGACAGAGCCTACAGGACAGCACATGAAGCCAGTCTCTACAGATTCAGAGGCATCAAAGTACATAGATTTTGATGGGGCAGTCTTACCACCTAAGCCAAGGGCTAGACCTCATCCAGCTGCCACCCACCTTCGTTTCTTGCCTCAACTCACCGGGTCAATCTCTGGTAAAACTGCCACGATGTGTCTGCCCAGCATCTCCCCAGCCTTCTTGAAGATGTACCGGGAAAGGGGGTCTCCCTGCTGTGCACCTGGGACACAGAGGAGGAAGAGGCTGGAGAAGACAGGAAGCAGCCTACTCTACTCTACCCCTCTCTCCCTTAGGTAAGGCAGCAAGCTCAGGCCAAGTCAGTGTTAGGATGGATGCCCACACTGGTAAAGCAAGCCTCCTCCCACCATTCTAGGTACCTCTCCTTCCAGTGCCTTGAGAAGATCCTCCCCACCCCGCCAGAGCAGGAGGACTAAACTCCAGTGAACTATTAAACTGTGTCTGTCCGCCTTGAGTCTATTAGCCCTGTGGAGACGGGACTCTATCTGAGAAGATGGCTGATGCTCCTGTTAGTGATCAGCACTCCCATCAGTGTGCTGCTGGCCAGCCCTATCCTGGCTGGTGTTTTGAGTCCTGAAATAAACACATGTAGGGTGCCCTGGGGCTAAGGAATCCAAGTTAAAAGAGGAACACCTCAGAGTGAAAAGTGTGACAATGCAGGTTCCTCCCAAAGCCAACACAAGCTATCTGAATTTTCCAATCCCTGCTTCTGTAATTTGCTCAACTGACACTACTTCAAGTTCTCAAACTTAGGCCTGCAGATTGCACCAGCCACATGGCCAGCAGGGAGAGAAACACAGGCAATCCAGTGCTGTTTGGTCCCACCTTGACCCTATCCACTACACCAAGTTGAGTAACAGACTCCAGGTTACTTGGTAAGACAGCCACCAGCCTTAACCATGCACCACCCTCCCATTAGACATGTTTTAGGGGAATCAAGCTACACACAAGCCAGCACTTATAGTACCTTCTGCAATTTTCTGACAAAACCCAGCAAACTTGGATTTATCAAAGTCCCTATAGAGGTGGGTGAGGATTCCTAGCCGATCTGGCACCTGAGGAACACAAAAGGAGACACAGTCAGTAGACACAGAAAACCCCTAGTCTTGTCACCCAGAGTGGCCTTCCCAGTGTGTCTATTGGAATGACCAAAATATTTTGGAACTTTTTGTTTTTTTGAGACAGGGTTTCTCTGTGGCTTTGGAGACTGTCCTGAAACTAGCTAGCTCTTGTAGACCAGGCTGGTCTCGAGCTCACAGA